ACCCTGCTGTATGTGGGATGGAGCCTCTCACGTACCCTGCTGTATGTGGGAGGGAGCCTCTCACGTACCCTGCTGTATGTGTGAGGGAGCCTCTCACGCACCCTGCTGTATGTGTGAGGGAGCCTCTCACGTACCCTGCTGTATGTGTGAGGGAGCCTCTCACGTACCCTGCTGTATGTGGGAGGGAGCCTCTCACGTACCCTGCTGTATGTGTGAGGGAGCCTCTCACGTACCCTGCTGTATGTGGGAAGGAGCCGCTCACATACCCTGCTGTATGTGGGACGGAGCCTCTCACGTGCCCTGCTGTATGTGTGAGGGAGCCTCTCACGTACCCTGCTGTATGTGTGAGGGAGCCTCTCACGTACCCTGCTGTATGTGGGAGGGAGCCTCTCACGTACCCTGCTGTATGTGGGAGGGAGCCGCTCACATACCCTGCTGTATGTGGGACGGAGCCTCTCACGTGCCCTGCTGTATGTGGGAGGGAGCCTCTCACGTACCCTGCTGTATGTGGGAGGGAGCCTCTCACGTACCCTGCTGTATGTGGGATGGAGCCTCTCACGTACCCTGCTGTATGTGGGAGGGAGCCTCTCACGTACCCTGCTGTATGTGGGATGGAGCCTCTCACGTACCCTGCTGTATGTGGGAGGGAGCCTCTCACGTACCCTGCTGTATGTGGGAGGGAGCCTCTCACGTACCCTGCTGTATGTGGGAAGGAGCCGCTCACATACCCTGCTGTATGTGTGAGGGAGCCTCTCACGTACCCTGCTGTATGTGGGAGGGAGCCTCTCACGTACCCTGCTGTATGTGGGAAGGAGCCGCTCACATACCCTGCTGTATGTGTGAGGGAGCCTCTCACGTACCCTGCTGTATGTGGGAAGGAGCCGCTCACATACCCTGCTGTATGTGGGACGGAGCCTCTCACGTGCCCTGCTGTATGTGTGAGGGAGCCTCTCACGTACCCTGCTGTATGTGTGAGGGAGCCTCTCACGTACCCTGCTGTATGTGGGAGGGAGCCTCTCACGTACCCTGCTGTATGTGGGAGGGAGCCGCTCACATACCCTGCTGTATGTGGGACGGAGCCTCTCACGTGCCCTGCTGTATGTGGGAGGGAGCCTCTCACGTACCCTGCTGTATGTGGGAGGGAGCCTCTCACGTACCCTGCTGTATGTGGGATGGAGCCTCTCACGTACCCTGCTGTATGTGGGAGGGAGCCTCTCACGTACCCTGCTGTATGTGGGATGGAGCCTCTCACGTACCCTGCTGTATGTGGGAGGGAGCCTCTCACGTACCCTGCTGTATGTGGGATGGAGCCTCTCACGTACCCTGCTGTATGTGGGAGGGAGCCTCTCACGTACCCTGCTGTATGTGTGAGGGAGCCTCTCACGTACCCTGCTGTATGCGGGAGGGAGCCTCTCACGTACCCTGCTGTATGCGGGAGGGAGCCTCTCACGTACCCTGCTGTATGTGGGAGGGAGCCTCTCACGTACCCTGCTGTATGTGTGAGGGAGCCTCTCACGTACCCTGCTGTATGTGGGAAGGCTGCGGCCGGCGGAACACGGTCCAGCGCGACGCGGCGCTCTCGGCCCGGATCTGGCGCGGCCGCAGCCACTGCACGTCTGGCCGCTCGCCGCCCTCGGAGCCAGCGTAGTACAGACTGCGTACAGCTGGCGGGAACGAGTCGTCCACGAATGGCTCGCCGTCCTGGGGGCACCGGAGCGGCGTCACGGACGCGACCTGGCCCCAGCTGGGCAGCTGGGGCGTGCAGGTCAGAGCGATCAGTGATTCTGAGAGATCGCGCAGCACTCGTAGACACAATGATATGGTTGCGGACTAAGTGAGCTACGGCGGGCCAAGCAGGCATGTGGCGAATGGTCGCACTGGACCCTGGCGATTCGCCAGCCAGGATTTACAGGGTCAATAAGGCGCACCGGGATTATCGATGACCGAAACATTGCACACCGGAGCTAGGAAGTGACAAGACAGTCGCAAGCTATGCAAGAATCTGGGCGACCTGCTGCGAAACCACGACAAACATACAGTCTTAAGTTGTGCCGGACAATCCAATCCTTCAGTGGTGCCACACAGGCCTTCGCATAGGACTTGTGATCCACGGTCGTAATCCTGCTCCATATCCACGATCCAGCGAGCAACCCTGGCTCGCCAACATCTCGATGCGCCCGAACCACCGCCGTGTTCCGGACTGCCCACCTGTTTGCAGAACTCGACGATGCGTTTCCACGTCTGGCGGGCGCCCTGCTCCTCCCAGGCACGTAGGTCTGACTCGAGCTCGCTCTCGCGCCGCGCCGCCGCCGGCTCGGTCGGCTCCGGTGAGGCTGGGCCGGCGCGTGGCGCGCCGCAAACGCCGCAACGCGCATCACCGGGCGCGTTTCCGTACGTGCAGGTAGGGCAGTCCCAGCCGGCGGCGACGGCGGCGGGCGCGGTGCTCGGCGGCCGCGAGTGACAGGCGGCGCAGCAGCGCGACGCCGCCGCGTTCACAAGGGTGCAGTGCGTGCAGCTCCAGTCGCCGGCGGGTCGCGCCACGGCCGCAGCCGCGGCGCACAGCGCGCACCGCGCCGCTCCCACGCCGTTGATATAGGTGCATCGCGGACAGCACCATCCGGCCTGCGGCTCGGCGGTCGCCTGGCCCGGCAGGTACTGGAAGTCGGCTTCGAGCGTCTGGCCGCCCACGGCCGGGGTGGTGTCCGCCAGCCGCAGCCGCGGCCGCGCGCACGCCTCGCAGCGCGCCGCCGGCGCCGCGTTGGGCGCCGAGCAGGCGGCGCAGCGCCAGCCGCCGCCGCCAGCCGCCAGGTGGCTGGAGAAGCGGTGCGGCCCGTCGGCGCCGGCCGCCCGCGTCGCCACGAAGCGCGCCAGCGCGTCCTGGACGGCGGCGGCCGGCACGTCAGGAGAGCGGCCGCCGCTGGGTGCCCGGTGGCGGCGCCCCGCAAGCCTCGCAAGCGGCGCACGACGCCTGATTGTCGAGCGTGCAGCGCGCGCACACCCAGAGCTGCCGACGGTAGGGCAGACAGTCGCTGCGCGCGCTGGTCGGAGCGACGGCCGGCGTCACCGAGCCGCTGCTGAGCGAGCGGCACAGCTTGCTCCGCACCCGGTCGTAGAGGCTAGAGTTCTGGCGTTTGGGCGAGCGCGCCAGATCCCCGCCGGCCGGTTCCACCTGCCGCACCGGCACCATGGACGGCGGCCACCCGCAGTCGCCCGGCCCCGAAGACGGATCGCCGTCCGCCGCAGCCGCCGACTCTGGCTCCGGCGACGCGTCCCTCTCGGACGCCGGCGTGTCGCCGCTGTCGCCCGGTCCCGGAGACGGGTCGCCGTCCGTCGCAGCCGCCGACTCTGGCTCTGGCGTCGCGTTCCTCTCGGACGCCGGCGTGTCGCCGCTGTCGCCCGGTCCCGGAGACGGGTCGCCGTCCGCCGCAGCCGCCGACTCTGGCTCTGGCGATACGTCCCGCCCGGACGCCGGTGTGTCGCCGTCGTCGGCCGGCTCCGGGGCGGGGAGGGCGCTGCCAGCCGCGGGGACCCGGTCTGACGGAGCCTCTATGGTGCGGCGCCGCTTTCAGCCGCCGGGCGAGCGCGCGCGCCGCTCGCTGTCAGCTGAATGCCTGCCGGGGAATACCGCTCCTAGTAATCCGCAGCGCTCCCATTCCTCATATATCGATCAAACGAATGCAATCAGCCTCCAGAGTCATCCGGTCACGTCATCCTGCTCGTCGGCTGAGCGGGCCCTCGCATAACGGCGATCGCACGTAAATATCAGCACGGTAACACCAGCAGCATCCAGGTGGCTGAAACCTCGCAAACTCCGGCGCTACCTGTCTATCCATATCACGGCCAGTTTCGCCGCCCGGCCTGTCCCACACAAACAGCAGACATAAACATGACAGAGCCGTCGGTTGCAGAGTTCTACGAACTCGCTCGTCGCAAAACAGATTTTCTGAACACCACCGGGCCGGGAAATGCTGCGGGGACTCCCTGCACATCACCCCACACTGGCGCGACTGGATCCGTCTGTGACGCACTGGGCCGAACTGAGGTTATCAAAAACCGCGGCGGGTACAGTCCCGCGGCCAGAGGAAGCCCCAGCCAATCGATTAACGTCAACAACGTCACGTTTCAACCTTTGGCGGAGCGGCTGTGAAAAATATACAAGCGGGAACTGCGAGTCACGCCAGGCGTGTGCAAGCCGTCGAAAACCGAATCCCACAACAACATGCGTTGAAGACGTGCATTCCCTACAGGACTGTCAACAAATTACTCCAGCAATAGATTGGCTTCAGGGAGAAATACAAAGTCACTGTCCATCGATGGCAACCACTTCCTTACAACTCAAAGTGGAAGAAGCTTTCTCCACAACAGCCATAAGCACTAAGGGTTAGGCAAGCAAAGAAGGGGATAAGGGCTGCTGCCACCATCCATAAAACAAACTACACCAGTCACAGGGTCATTGTTTTCTATTTGGTCGAGAGGCTGCATACCTGACCTTGAGGAGAAGGTGGGCCAACTTTTGAGCAGATACCCTCTTTTTATGATTAAACCATGCTCCTGGTTTGTGAGCATCATTGCATGTGGAGGGGAACAGGGAGAGGTGGGGACTCAAGTGAACAGTACATGCACATTTCATTTGCAATTTCAACATAAAAAACACTGAAAATGTAGTATCAGAAAGCAACAGCATTCACCAGCCAGTCATTCCAAAGCCACCAACAAAATGGCAAGCTGGTTGATCCGACAAGAGTGAGCTTTCTAAGTTATGAAGGCTTCCATAGATATTTGTGCATCAAATGTTTTGTGTGTCAAATGTTAACTAATTGTCATTTTGGGACAAACATTCCATACTTACAGACAGTGAGCTATGAGCATGAAATCACAGTAGAGAAACTCTTCAACCACACACATCAGTTCAGACAGTTCAAAGACCTGCCAGTTTCAGCAATGTTGATAACTTGTGGTGATGTTTTGTCACCTTGACTTGTTCCAGGTCATTAATGTATGATATGTTAAGCCCCCATTTTATGTTAACCCTAAATCAGAGAATAATTTGGTTCAAAGTTCATGCTAAACATTCTATTTTCTTGCAAGCTTCTACTTACTAGTTTGATCACTTATAATGTGATGATGACCTGAGCTTTTATGCTATGTTATGGATGAACCCAATGGGTTCAGGTCAGGTGTTCTCAAACTCCTTCAGGGCCGAGGCACCTGCTGTTTAATCAGACTAGTTAAACATCAGCAAAATAGTGATTGGGTTCCTCACAACCCACTATCAAAACCCTCCCTGTTGTCCAACAGAGCACTGAGAGTTGTCTGGTAGGCAGCACAATGTAACACCCTGAAGGAAATTAATGTGGGCATCAATTTCTAAAAATATTTTGCTGGAAACATACCTTGGTTCATTGGTAAACTTGGTTGCAGATTTCCAAGATTAAGGTACCTGCATTGAAACAATATGTTGACATATTTTGAGATTTACAAGCACTGCTGAAAATACTTCCAGATGAAGACATGTTTGACACAACACATCCATGCCAATTTCTTCAATAACATGGTGGGCTGGGAGAATGGTGAGCTGGAAAATGGTGGGCTGGGAGAAGAAGTGATCCTGTTATAAATCCTCTTCTTGTAACAAACAGGCACCTGCTAAACTTCCTCCCAAGCATAACAACACAATATGGTGATGTGTGTGCTTGGCATCAGTCACAATATGTTTGCAAATTCATGTTTCCACCATGAGACTTTTCAAGCTTGCTTGTCCACTTATGTAAGGTCACTGGTGGTATAATAGCACATGCAGCTGTTTATTTTTCTGGGACTTGAGCCCAATGAATTAGCCAATAATATGATAGTTGAAACTGTACATTACTAAGGGGACCGGTGTATTAACGTAAATTAACTGCTTCTAAATAAATTGTTGCCTTATGTAAATATCTTTCACTGCTTATATAGTGGTTTACATGATTGAGTTATCACCACTTTTAAGTAGTTGGCCATATTTTTAACATTTAGTCATGGTAAACACAAATACTTAGTTTCTTTCCAAAACCATCCCAACAGACTTAAATCACAACTACCTCTGATGCATACTGTCTGTTTCTCACACAGAATTGTAACAAATCCAGTCAAATTTTCACCTTTGGGCATTGATTATCTCAACTGAGATAAAAACTGCTAATTAAATAAATCTTAGTAGTATTAATTAACATTTATTTTACATATTGGGCATCAAGGGGGCTACATCCAGCTACCTGCTCAATCATAAGTGATGCTGTGCCCGACACACTCATCTTTAATGGCATAAATAAGATTAGCCACGGGACAAGGGGCCTAGCCAGAAAGGCTTCTTCTCTCCTGTAGCCCTCAACCCAGATGCTTTCAGCGGCCACCTTTCGTCGACACGCTACCCCGTCAAAGCACCGTCATCATGACGCTGTCGCATTTATGCAATGCAGTAAATCTCTCCGTGCAATGATACCTTTAAATATTCCACCCTTCTTACCTGCCCAAGTACCCTCCCCAACATAGCGCGTTCACATACTGGAACGTCACGCACAAAGACCGAGGGCTTGAAAGCGTCGTTTTCACAAACCAATGCGCCATAGTTGATGTTATTTGATCAGCACCTTTGCTACCATATGCAGCAAAAAATCCTAGATTTAACTTCACGAAACAAAAAGTGGCCACCGGTAGAGAATCCACAGAGAAGCCCCACTTGGCATCCGAAAGAAAATTTCGGTAAAATGGAGAGCCCATACCTCCCAGCCCTAAACTCGTTGCATCCAACCGTCACATCGGTCGGACTCCGAGTCGCCGTACTAGCCAGCCGAGCCGCCAGCCCGTCCGCGGGTGTCTCACTGGGGCACGCCGGTGACACAGCACTGACCTCTACCCCCTGCCGCGCGGGGGTCGAGCGTGGAAGGGATGATCAGCCGAACTGTTTGTTTATCGCGCTGCCTGGTCACCAGCGGTCGGTGAAGTGGGTCAGCCGGTGCCAGCGGCCGATGTGGGTCAGGTCAGCGGCTGGTCGCCCGAGGCGCTAACACCGGCGACTCACGACACGCTGCACGCCGCGATAGTGACGGTGCACCGCGGCATATGTTGACGGTGGCGGCAGAGCTGCTGCTAGCGGCGGGACAACTGCTGCCGTCCGCTCATCACGCGTCTCATGTCGTCAGCGATGCTCATGACGACGTCCGAATACGAGCTACACATCTACGCTGATGGCATTCACCTCTATCTTGAGGCGACCCGGGACGCGATCATAGCGTCGAGGTCCACGTCCACGAGCTGCAGGAGGAGCCATCCGGTGATGTGTCCCAGTCCAGCTCAGCCGCGAGTGGTACTGCTTCTCGGCCAATAGCCGAGCTCCGTCGACACTCACGCCCACTAGCTGTGAAAGAATTTACCAGCTCTGCATTTAATTTCGACCTCGCTGAGTCTGATACCGTTTCTTGAGCACATTCTTCCCGCCCTGTGACGTCGCGATGGCGGTGGCGATGAAAAGCTGGTATTCTCAGTCACTCCCGACCTCCGCTAAACTCTTCGTTCTCACTGGAGCTATTTCCGCTCCACCGCCTCGCTCGGCTCCCCACCTCCCACATTCCACAGTAGCGATCATTCTCCACCGAGCTCTGGGGCTTCCTCCGAGGCCGGATGTTTGGTTTCCATCAGACTGGTGTGGTCCGATCTTGGCATTTGATGGATGGAGATGCCTCTGTGCAGCCGCGCATGGTTCGTATTTTTGCAGGAAAGAATACCTGCTGGTATAAAGCGCACGTCTGGAAATAGAACTGCTGCATGTTTCAAGGGTGAACGTTGAGTTCAAGGATGTAATGAGTTCCGCCAGTAAAGGGTTGCTGGAAAACAAAACCACCTGATGTTCTGACGAACACGCTGTTGCTAATCGCAGCCCTTGGGCTACCCTTTATCTAGTACTGCGACTAACCATAAATGAAGTCATTTATATGTGGATGAGTTGTTGTAGTCATTTCTAGAGATGTACAGTTTTTGACCTTATCAAGGGCTTATTTTTACCGCACTCGCCGATCCAAGGTTTATACGTACCTGCCGCCTGGGTCACTTAGCAAGGTTTGTTTAACCGGAGCGGTTTTAGATCATCCAAGCAGTACGAGGCGGTGTTCGACCCCAGACCAGTGCCCATGGGGACGCCCATGCTGAAAAATATGCACTCATGACAGCATATAGATCCTCATACTGACAGCATCTAGCTCATGCAGATAACGTTTTAGTTAGGCCAGCCCGAACCTTGTCGGCCGTCGAACAAGAAAAGATATTGCCGTGATCCTTATATAATTTGTAAGGCTTATGAAAAACTGACCGCCCCAACCAGCACAAAGCCCAGGGACACCAAACGTCCAAGCTTGGACGGGGGTCGATATCGGTCGTATCGCCTTATCAATAAGACACCAGGTAGGCATTAACTACACGTTAGAAACATACTAAAGGGACCATGCTGCAGAGCCATCCATGACCTAGTTATTTCAGTCGTGCAGCAGCGGGGTCCATTTCCGACGTCATCGGTCGGTGGAGAGCCCGCATCGCGACCTCATTCGCCAACCGGCCAATAACGTCCATGCCGCCCGCTTGCCGCGTGACACACCGTTGTCATGGGAGCCGCGGACGCCGGCCGGCCTCGGCCGTGACATTGGCCAAGGCCGTGGCCCGGATATTTCCGAGCTGCACGTGGAGACGGTGTTAACCGGCAGCAATCATTTGGTACACTTGCCTGAGACGGAGCTGCGCGTGCATCTTTTCCAAACGCGAATTTGCTTCCTCAAGCTGTGAGTTTCGGAACCTGAGTGGAAATGTGACACAGTTTGGTCTAGCTGGCCGCTGTTTTGAAATTGCTACACACGCAACTCGTTCAACTAACTCAAAGAACCGGAGTTTTTCTCGCTATGAGAGAAGCTCAAACTCGGAGTTGTACTTTACGGTGGTTGCCTCAGTGCTGGTGATGGAGCCAAGGTTGCCAAAATGCTCCAAAATGTGTTGAACAAAACAAAATGTTGCAACCATAGAATGCACACAGGAGCGACTGGCGGAACGGAAGGTCGACGGAGCGACGACCAGACGGTGGCGCCATCTAGAGACGGCCGCATTAACGACCGAGTGGTGGATGATGCGGCGCGACATGGCCGGCGCGAGGCGGCACGGCGCTCAGATAACTACATGATATATTTAACTTTGTGTGTTATAATCTTGTGTTCCCCATTATCGGTCACAATCCTCTTTTTTCGAGAGGTACTTGTCTTAGAAACTGCATTGTTTTCCACCATTCTAACCATGATTACAAACCTCGCTGTGCTGGACGATTTCAGAAAATTGTGTCATCGTGCTAGTTTTGCCACGAAAAACACTGTATTCTTTTCGTTTGTTTCACGTGTAGGTTGGCGGTGAAAATGGTGCGCTTTCAAGAAAGTCACGGTTGGATTTTATTTAAATAACGCGTACACGCCCGTTGATCAGCGTCAAAGATTGTCAAGTGGAGACTTAAGGTTGTCACATAGGAGGTGGGGGTGGGGGTGGGGGGCGTTAATCACTCTTTGCATATATAGGGCAGTCATATATTGGGCCTTCCAGTTGACAATCAGGTATATTATAAACGCACCCACTTTGGGAAGCAGAAGGTTTGCCAGTTGCTTCTCTCTGGTTTGCTGAAATGTGAAATCTGAATATAATTCACATTATGTTCTTCCGTGATGGTCATACATTGATCTGCATATCTACAAGAACGACGTGTTCACTAATATGTGGCTATCACCATCCATTTGTTGCAAATAATATGTGGCTATCCAAATCATTTACACGCAGGCTCTCAATATCAAGACACACACACACACACACACACACATATATATATATATATATATATATATATTATATAATAATATATATATAATATGTTTATATAAATGTTTCATCGACAAAACATACGCATTTCAGTCAATGTAAAACAAAACAAGTATTACCTAGTGTATACTCTTCGATGTATCGAAAAGATGCGTTCAAATTTGGTGCGGAATGTTCAGACGTGGCCAGAACAAACTACGGTTAGAAATAAAGTTGAGTAAAAAGTTATCAACCTTTCAATAACTAGGCATAAGTAGATGCCCTCCTGTTGAAGATACTTTTCCCCGCTCATTTTAATGAACATGTATTGCGAGCCTACGGTACTTCTGGAATGCTGTTCCAAGATGGTATGTTTCTGAGCGGAAAGCAGATCTCTCCGCTTCAATTCGAACGTGCGGCAAACGGAACGCACGTCAGGTCAGTACCATGCGCGATATACGTTGTTCGTAACAGCGCTGCTAGTTGAGTTGGCTCTTCAGTGACCATGCTACTATACTTTTGTACGTATGTCGCATACTAGGTGCTCAATGAGCTCACCCACACCCAGCCAGCCATACTACCTCCGGACAGCATCGACAATGATAACGATTTCGAAAGTTCACTGTCACTCTGGCACTGTTTGCACTGATTGCACTGATGTGAATGCACTGTTTGAAGCACACAAAGGGGTTCTTTGACTTCAGATAATGATGATGCAATAAGCAGGACTAGAATCTCTATGCACTTCTGCACAATCGCATGAAGTTGAAGCGAAATGCGCTTGAACATACCAGCGTGCTAGTGTGTTCCGAAGAGCGAGCTGTTACCTGAGTCTTTGATGGGTTCGACTTTTACAGGTTTGTCTGCATTTCGCGCGGCTCCCGGTACAAAGACTAGACAGTCGTCTGCGCTGTAGGAGCTGTGGGGCAGCGGCGTGATAACTAAGTACATTGTTAATGTGCTTAACAAATTGGCACTCATGGATGAACCCAGTTATACACTGGAGGTATCGGGCAAGCGCCACTGCTCTAGTCTGAACGTTTTGTACGTAATGTGCATGCCGTTGAAGGCTATCCAAAGGTCATGGCCGTAACGTGTCGTGAAATCTCAGTGCTTCTAGCAGAAAGAAGCGACAGACGCAGTGAGATACCGTTTTGTAGGTGAACGATTCATATTAGCGCTACCTGGCCAACATCGATGGGACGAATATGCTGGCTGAAATGTCCAGGATTACCGTCTTAGTTAAATGAATCCTACGTGGTCCATGCGAGCACGAGGCATCAGAAAATGCAATAAAATAAGCTGTTCGTACACCAGCTCCTCTTTTAGCATCGTCGCTATGGGAATGAGCGAGATCGGTTTTAAGTTTGACGTTGAAGTTGGTGAAAAGTTGCCTGATGAGGCCACATCTAACAATCAACCACTTAGTAATATCTCCCCCTTTCATGGCAGCATCTCAGAGGCAAAACTGCTTCTTACAGCGTGTGGTGACGCTGACATTTGACATCCATGGATGACCTAGCAGGCAGATTTTTGCAATGTGAAGCGTCATGCCATCGCAGCCGTCAGCATCACTGGTGTTCATAGACACCAAAGCGCGTTTTGATTCATGTATGGTGACATGTCGTAGGCAAGGGAGCTGGCTCGCTCGTGCAACGCAGGAGTTTTGTCTACCCACTGGAGTCGCTGCCAATACCTTGCCGGAGGTTTTCCTCCTGATACAGGTGACGCATTCGTTGGCCTACCAGCTAATCTAGAAGTTTTGTTGGCGAAGGTCCCTTGCCGCCGGCGATGCTACAGATAAAGTGGTGCCCGCTGCCGAGCCTCGATAACTCTATGAGTCACTAGATACATCCGCGGCCGTTGCACCGGCTGACTGCGCGCTCTCGGCGGTCTAGTTGCCTGTCTATCGCTTCGGTGCGACGAAGGCCACAGTGTTGTGCAATGAGCTACTTAATCGCGTCCGACACAGGGAAAGAGAGCTATCGGTTTGTGAGTCGAGACCTCCCGTTTTGGTGCGAGCTAGTCAAGCAATGCATTCCACTGTTCAGCAGGCGAAAAGGCGTCAGAACACGCTCCGGTCGGCCGTGGTCAGATCAGATCAGACAGAACCTATAGACACAGATCCAGATCTACAGATCCAGATTTACATGATCTGGCCAGATCTTGTATCAGTGTTCGTTCCGAGGCCGTCACCCGCTCGGGAGTGATGCGACACCACTCCAGCCCTCGCAGCATTCCTCGTGCTCTTTTGCGCATTGTCCGGTGCGTGCAGAAAGCCGACCAATGCAATGTGGAGCCGACGCTCGAGCCATGGCGACTTCACAGCCATCCAGTTGCGACCCACGGAGACTGGCCGCAGCCCGGTTTTCACCTGCAGACACCCTGGTCAGTTGATGATTACCTAGTGCGCCATGTCCTCGGCGTGTAAGACGCCATCGCCCCTGTACAGAGATCGAACTCTACAATCCATTGGAACCTCCAGTAACCGATGCAATGAGGTAGCCCATGCCTGAGCGCCGTGCTGCAATGGCTTGGCGCGATCATGAGCGCTACAAGGAGCTGAATCGATTGACAAGCCATCTGCCATGGCTGCCCTGAGCGCATCCGCAGAAAACCCCAGGGGCAGGGCGAAGCAGTATGTGTAAGTGCATATAACCGATCATCGCTGGCGAGAAAGCTAGTATGAGCTCAAATCCACAGGTCGACCAAACGTCATTAGCAGCTATCACGCGTAGACTGGAAGTGAAACACTGGCCGCTGTAATGATTGCCAGAACTGAAACAATTACACCAAATGTTTTGATATGATGAATCATGATAAGCTCACTTAAAAGCGATTTATTCATGGCGCCGACCCTCACTGGTTTAAAGATAATTTTTGGAACCACAGGAAGAAAGCACCATTTGCCCGTAATCACCTCAGATATCTAAAATCACGGCCGGCTGGAATTTAGGTAACGTCTCATGAAACTGAATGATAGCAAAACCCAGCTTAGCGTCATCGTTGCTCAGAAAATGATACAGCACGTGCCTCTCATCTCAATCCGCGCCGGAGACAGCGAGATTGAAGAGTAGCTTGGCATTTAACACGCGCCCGGCTGTGTGTCAGTTTGATCTACCTTCAACAAATTTAAAAAAAATAATGTCCGAATGGCGCAGCGTAGCCGCGCAAAGTTTTGCATAGTTGTAGGCAATTGGATAGCCGATCCTTTTGCCCAGAAAATTAGATGAAACTTGTAAAGTCGCTGACCTACGGCAGGTTAAAGTCAGTGGAGTGGCTGTCAGCGAAGGAGATTTCTAGGGGAGCGTTCAATGCTTTAATATGGTGCAACGACGGAGTGTTAGACGAAGCCATATTACATCTCTGAGATAGTTTGTTAGGTAATGAAACAACTGTCAAGTATGAAGATCAGATCAGGGTCTAAAGCGACCTGCCTCTTTACTCGAGAGCTTGCTATGTGGGGTAGTTTCTGGTCCTCATGTCGAACTAATTAATAACGGGGATCGCACCACCGCAGTCGGCGCGCCCCTAAACTCCAATAAACAAGAACAACAAAGGGATCGCATCAGACATCTTCCATGGATTTCCAGGAGAACTGAGTAAGTCACTAACCTATAATGGCAAGTCAGCATTTTGTTTTTTGAAACAAACTGCCTACCGTAATCCTTGACACTTATTCAAACGAAAAAATCAAACGGTATCGCAGGATTTTGGCCACTGTGACATTCCAAATGCCAAACAAGGCCACTGACCTTAACTAAACATCAATTACCTTTCGCTAAGAACAGATATCTAGGTCAAAGGTGATCGCATAAGGAGGTTTGCAGGCACTTTGGACAACACGCTGGAGTTTGAACCTACTGGACCTTACTTCGCCCGAATGTCATGACCAAGGAACCTCAAATTTGACCAGTGAGTCAACATGCAGATCAATCAATCCTGTGCATTTGGCGTCTCTAGCTCTCTTAGTTTTTAAGATTTAATGAGGGCCATGGTGCCCTCCCCCACCCGAACGAAGGGCTATTACCCGGCCGCCCGTGCCCGTTTTAACCTTGGGTTGACCCTTGACCGATCGCTCGCCTTATCGTTGCGCTTTGCCGGTATGAGCATATGCATATAAGCATATATATGTCGCAACAAACTGCGTATGGCCTTCTTTCATACAGGCATGGCCTCCGCACTGAACATATAGGCAAGGCAATATAGAGATTAGTCGTCTCCGTAGTTCGTGGCTGCATGCATGTGAAGACAGCGCAAACCAGTCAAACTTGAAACAGGTGCCATCGATTCTAAATTTTAGTGCGAGGGCGATGTCAGGCCGCCGGAAATTCGACTAAACCTCTTACGTGCTAAACTGAAACCAAGTCCTGAACGTCAGACGGCTGCTAAACTGGAACCAAGTCCTCAACGTCAGACGGCTGGCATATTGCCACAACGTAATCTTTCTGCATTCGTCACGGGACGACCGCCAGCATTGGCGAGTCTGCTCAGCACAAACACCGGCACGACGGGGAGTCGCACCTACAAGTCCCACCTCAGGCTGCCTACGGCGCGTCGGGACAGTGGAAACGACAGTTTATTTATCGGGCTCCGGTCGACTCCACCCTCTCGCCACACGACGTAAGGGCTTTCGACCAGTCATGTTTTGCTGTCGCAGTTCAGCGAGAGTTCCTGTGTGCCATCGGGACGTGAGCACACGTTTTGAGCTGAGGTAAGATGTGCATGCCTTTCGTTGAATGAGTGGGCGTGTCTATACCCAATTACGTTTTAAGACATGGCATGTCACAGTAATAGCCAAGTGTGTCTTACATCTGTGCATGGAATGCATGCTATATTCGAATGTGTCGCAGTGTGAATGCATGCATAAATACCTAAGTTTTTTATAGTTAGACTGCCTTTTTGTGTGTCGTAATCGACCTGGTGAATTCGACACATTTGTAATTGATACATTCTAATCGACACAACTGTTTTTACATCGGCCACGAAGCCAGTCAGCTGATCTGATCGTTTTCTTTTCAGTTCACACAGGGTAGAGCTTGTAATGTTGAGTCAGGCTGGCTGACGTGACAGACGAGGCTGGTGATTCATGGACAGTGTCCAGGAAGGGACGGTTGAGTGACCTTTGCGAGTCCCGTGTTCCATGAA